TCGAACGCGCACCCGGCAGCGTCATAGATCGGCTTCCGGCCTCAGATGTTCGTTCCGGAGTGACGCTCTGCTTTGGGTTTGTCTCAAAGCAAAACCACCCAAAATGCCGTGGTTTCGTTTTGGAACCCCCTTCAAAACCAAAAGGTGTCCTTTAAAAAAAAAGGAACCTGTTTCCTTGTGGCAACCAAATGTCGGTTTCCCAAAAAAATGATAGCTGGCTTGGACGGGAAGTTTGTTTCCCGTTTACCCCCTAAAAAGAGTTCAACTCCCCAAACCCCCAATCCAAACCACCAACCACCAATTAAGGGTCACCTGGACATATCAGAAAATAGAGGGACCCCCTTTAGGACGTCGACGGCCTGGCTGCCAGGAAAAAAGGTCCGTACTCGTGACCTCCAAAGACACTCTTTTTAGAGGCACTGACTTGCAGGCAGAAGGCAGATTTGTACTGCAAGTTTGTCCAGACAGATCTGGACTTGTGTCCAACCCCAAATCATTGGAAACATAATGTCCCTTGGTTGTTGACACACCTGGGAAAACGGTGAGACACGGCTTCAGCGCAGCGTTTCCACTCCCGATGGCACACCTCGGCTTAAGCATCAAAAGGCATCTGCATGCGTGCGTGATGTGATGTGATGTGATGTGATCTGATCTGATGTGATGTGATGTGAGGTGTGCGCGGGCGTGCATGCGGGCGTACATGAGTACGTGCGTGGGTGGGCGGGTGGGTGCGTGGATGGCCGGGTGGTTGCTTGTTTGCGCTAGCGTCCGGAATAGCGGCCCCACTGTTTCTGCAAGTGCTCTTGCGTTTTCTTGAACCGTCCCCGTCAAGTCGCATTCATTGTGTTCAAAAGGGGGGGTAACTTCATCCTCTAACTGCGCGAAAATGTTCCCACTTCTTATAGATCATATGAGGGGTGGGGTAAGCTCAACCCCGCTCGAACTGCGTGAAAATGTATTGACAAGACTTCGCGCTTCCTATATATCATATTGGGGAATGACCCAGTACGCCAAAAATGGGCCCTGAGTACTACTTGAATTTGTGACTTGAATCTCTCTGTCCAGCCATGTTGGCGAAAAGGCCTGGCTGCATTTTCACTTCAAGTGAGGCTCAGCAGTGTATGTGACGATCGTGACTGAGAACAAACATTGCATGATCAGAATTATGCTGGGTTGGCATGTGGGTTGACAGAGTTCCTGAAAACCAAAAATCCAACCTTCTTGAAAAGGGTGTCAACACGTCGGCGAACATGTCGGCTCATGGATCACCAGCAACGAAAACCTCCACTGAATTTAGGGGAATGGGAACCCAGTACAAACGCTTTCGTCAATTGGGGGGTCAGGTTGACAGGGTTCCTTCATAGATCTTGCCAACCCGTGGGACAATACAGGTGACACAATGCTGACCTCGGATTCATCCGGAGGACCGTACATAATCAGTGATGGTTCCCTTTACATGTGAGGATGGTTTTTACTCTTTGGATCTTTTGGGGCTTCCTCCGACTGGCACGGATGGCGAGCCTGTTCCCAAAACAAGGACCGTGGTTACCTTTTGCTGAAATGAGCGGTTCACCTCAACGAAACGCACAAAACTACCAGAGCAGCGCAAATAGCGCTTTTTTGCGTGAGCCTCCAAGAACGAAAATGCACCATGTCCTGAGGTCCGACCCAGATTGACCTTGAAAAACCAGCAAAAACAGCGGGGCAACTAACACGGACACTTCCTTGTTCAATTGTGTGTTTGATTGATTTGTTTGTGTGTTTGCTTGTTTGCTTGTTTGCTTGTTTGCTTGTTTGCTTGTTTGCTTGTTTGCTTGTTTCTGTGTTTGTTTGTGTTTGCTTGTTTGTTTGATTGATTTGTTTGTTTGTTTGCTTGTTTGCTTGTTTGTTTGTTTGTTTGTTTTCTTGTTTGCTTGTTTGCTTGTTTCTGTGTTTGTTTGTGATTGCTTGTTTGTTTGTTTGTTTGTTTGATTGTTTGTTTGTTTCTTTGTTTCTTTGTTTGTTTGTTTGTTTGCTTGTTTGCTTGTTTGCTTGTTTGCTTGTTTGCTTGTTTGTTTGTTTTTGTGTTTGCTTGTGTTTGCTTGTTTGTTTGTTTGTTTGTTTGTTTGTTAGTTTGATTGATTGTTTGTTTGTTTGTTTGTTTGTTTGTGTTTGCTTGTTTGTTTGTTTGTTTGTTTGTTTGTGTGTTTGTTTGTTTGTTTGTTTGTTTGTTTGTTTGTTTGTTTGTTTGTTTGTTTGCTTGTTTGCTTGTTTGCTTGTTTGCTTGTTTCTGTGTTTGTTTGTGTTTGCTTGTTTGCTTGTTTGTTTGTTTGTTTGTGTTTGCTTGTTTGTTTGTTTGTTTGTTTGTTTGTTTGTTTGTTTGTTTGTTTGTTTGTTTCTTTGTTTCTTTGTTTCTTTGTTTCTTTGTTTGTTTGTTTGTTTGTTTGTTTGTTTGTTTGCTTGTTTGCTTGTTTGCTTGTTTGCTTGTTTCTGTGTTTGTTTGTGTTTGCTTGTTTGTTTGTTTCTGTGTTTGTTTGTGTTTGCTTGTTTGTTTGGTTGTTTGTTTGTTTGTTTGTTTGTTTGTTTGTTTGTTTGTTTGTTTGTTTGTTTGTTTGTTTGTTTGTTTGTTTGTGTTTGCTTGTTTGTTTGTTTGTTTGTTTGTTTGTTTCTGTGTTTTTTTGTTTGTTTGTTTGTTTGCTTGTTTGCTTGTTTGCTTGTTTGCTTGTTTCTGTGTTTGTTTGTGTTTGCTTGTTTGTTTGTTTCTGTGTTTGTTTGTGTTTGCTTGTTTGTTTGTTTGTTTGTTTGTTTGTTTGTTTGTTTGTTTGTTTCTTTGTTTCTTTGTTTGTTTGTTGGTTTGTTTGTTTCTTTGTTTCTTTGTTTGTTTGTTGGTTTGTTTGTGTTTGTTTGTCTGTCTGTCTGTCTGTCTGTCTGTCTGTCTGTCTGTCTGTCTGTCTGTCTGTCTGTCTGTTGGTCGGTCTGTCTGTCTGTCTGTCTGTTTGTTTGTCTGTTTGTTTGTTTGTTTGTTGTTCATTGTTTGTTTCGTTCTTTGTTTATTTCGTTCTTCCTTTCTTTCTTTCTTTCTTTCTTTCTTTCTTTCTTTCTTTCTTTCTTTCTTTCTTTCTCTGTTTCTTTCTTTCTCTGTTTCTTTCCTTCTTTCCTTGTTTCCTTATTTCCTTATATTTGCTTTATGCATTTAGTTATGTAGTTATTTGTTGATTTATTTCTTCTTGTCTTCCCTCCTTCTTTCTTTTTGTCTTTCTTTCTTTACTTCTTTGTTCATTGTTTGCTTGTTTGTTTGATTGTTTGATTGTTTGTTTGCTTGTTTGCTTGTTTGTGTGTTTGCTTGTTTGCTTGATTGCTTGTTTGATTGTTTGCTTGTTTGCTTGATTGTTTGTTTGTTTGCTTGGTTGCTTGTTTGTTTGCTTGTGTGCTTGTTTGCTTGCTTGCTTGTTTGCTTGTTTGCTTGTTTGCTTGTTTGCTTGTTTTTGCTTGCTGGTTTGCTTGTTTGTTTGTTTGTTGGTTGTTTGTTGGTTTGTTTGTTTGCTTGCTTGCTTGCTTGATTGCTTGCTTGCTTGGTTGGTTGATTGTTTGTTTGTTTGCTTGCTTGTTTGTTTGTTTGTTTCTTTGTTTCTTTGTTTCTTTGTTTAATTGTTTCTTTGTTTCTTTGTTTCTTTGTTTAATTGTTTCTTTGTTTCTTTGTTTCTTTGTTTGTTTCTTTGTTCCTTTGTTTCTTTGTTCCTTTGTTCCTTTGTTCCTTTGTTTCTTTGTTTGTTTGTTTGTTTCTTTCTTTCTTTGTTTGTTTCTTTGTTTCTTTGTTTCTTTGTTTCTTTGTTTCTTTGTTTCTTTGTTTCTTTGTTTCTTTGTTTCTTTGTGTGTTTGTTTCTTTGTTTCTTTGTGTCTTTGTTTCTTTGTTTCTTTGTTTCTTTGTTTCTTTGTTCCTTTGCTCCTTTGTTTCTTTGTTTCTTTGTTTCTTTGTTTCTTTGTTTCTTTGTTTCTTTGTTTCTTTGTGTCTTTGTTTCTTTGTTTCTTTGTTTCTTTGTTTCTTTGTTCCTTTGTTCCTTTGTTTCTTTGTTTGTTTGATTGTTTGTTTGTTTGTTTGTTTGTTTGTTTGTGTTCTTTGTCTTTCTCTTCGTCTTCGCATTTATTCAAACAGACCAGGCGCACGGAGCCAGCCTTTTCTCCAGTGAGACGCATGACAGCCCGGAAGCGGGCCTGGACCTATAGGCCGAAATAACGCTGGGCACAAGGAACAGGGGACCTTTTGGCGTTCGTCATACATGGGTGTGGGTCAAAATTAAACCCACAGAAAACCGCAGGTTTTAGTCTTTGTTGCCATTTACCAGGGTTCCATTCTGGGTACCTAGGCCTTGAGATTCACCGGACAGGCAAGGTTGAGAGTCTTGCCCACTGCTTGAAGTGAAAAACGGCGTGTTCCTCATTGCTGCCAATATAGTAGTAGGAGTTAAATGACTTTCCAGGACGAACTAGAGGGTAACTCCCATGTTGGAAACCTGGAACTTCGAGCTGCCTGGCCGATGTGATCGGCCTACTGTTACATCTGCCGGAAATCGGCGAGGCTCAGCTCAGCTTGACTCCGTTCGGAGATGCTTCGCATATCTTCAAAGTTGAAACGCTCAGCTTTGGCGCCAAAGCCCTGGAAGATGGAAGCGGACTCACACGTCAGTTGTCCTTAGACAAAAGTGACGCGCAAACGATCTGCAATATGGGCACACACTTTGCGATTGCATGAGCTTGAAAGCCGGTGGTACCTGCTGGTTCGTAGTGACAGGTGTGGCGGTGCCAAAATTGCTCTTTCAGTGATTGTGTAGCCCCAAACACTGCAAAAGGGGGCCTTTTGCGCTCCACTTTAAGACATGACAACAGCTTCCCTGACATGTGTCGCAAACTCCAACCAGAATGGGCCGTTGCGCTTTGATTCAGTCAAACTCAAGAATTCCAGGGAGAACCTTTTTCCTCCAGGTCCCCCCCCCCTCCCAGATTGCGGAGACCCTCGAGTTGTGTCTCACGCATTTCCAGGTTTGTTTGTTTTTGTATTTTTTTCTTTTGAGGGCCCGCGCCCAGAAACAAGAAACCGTATCCTCCCAACAATCATGGAAGCTGGCGATCGGAGGGTTTTGAAACACTACTTTCCGCCTTGGTTGAACCTTCCCGCACACTTCCATGATGTTGTAAGGAGTGTAGCTGGGATACTATGTGTATAATAAAAGCAAAACGTATTATCATCATTGCGATCAGAATGATCTCTATTGTCAGGATTATCATAATTACCAGTATTCATATAGTTAGTTTAATTGGTATCATTATTGCTATTGATATGTTTATTGCTGTTATCTTTATCATTATCATCATCATTACTATTCTTATTATTGTCGTGACTATTACTGCTACTACTACTATTAGCATTACAATTACTACTACTACTATTACTATTACTACTACTGTTACTACTACTGTTCTTAGTAGTATAATTCTTCGTACTATTCTTACTCTTATTACTACTAGAAGTAGCAGTAGCAGTAGCAGTAGCAGTAGCAGTAGCAGTAGCAGTAGCAGTAGCAGTAGCAGTAGCAGCAGCAGCAGTAGTAGTGGCAACAATAATAGTCGTCGTAAAAAAAAAAAAAAAAAAAAAAAAAACGAAAAGCAACAGGAACAAAACAAAAACCAAAAAAAGAAGGGCCAACGACACTCCACCAGTCCCTCCCAAAGAAACTTTCGTGGCGAGGCTTCGGGCATCTCCCAGACCGGGGAATCCTCCGCTTCGATGGGGAAGAGCATGGGCAGCGGCCCGAAGAAGAAGGTGATCAACGGCAGGCCTCGGGCGGGCTGTGAGGTAGCAAGGGCCGGGTTTTAGGACCAACTCTATGTGGGGTAATGGAGTAGAGCCCCTTTTTTTTAAGGCCACTCCATGTGGTCTAAAAAAGCCTGGTGTTAGAGGCGAGAGTTGTGTTGGCTTTAGGACCATTCAACCGGCCATGTGGCTGCGTGTTCAAAACTCTCAGGTGCAAAAGGTGAATTTGTCACGGGAAAAGAGGAAAGAATTGGCCTCGGCATCCGATATTTTTTGGTGGGTTGAGCTTAAAGGAATGGGAACGCTTCCCAAACAGAAAGTTGTAAAAAGGGCACCACTGAGCAACTGGGTCTGGTGGGCTCTATGTACGGGTCAAAAAAAAGCAACAGGATATGGACCGCAGGTTTTAGTCCATGTGTCCAGTTACCAGGGTTCCATTTGGGTATCTATGTTTGACCCGCAAGGAGGGTACCCTTTTCATAGGAAAACCCAGGAGGAAAACCTGAAATCCAAGACAACGTTTTTGGGACCAATCCCGTATGTTCACCCGTACAAGTCAAAATAGGAATCGGCCCGTTGCTAAAATGGCAAGAATGTCCTTTCGTTTCCCCCAAATCCCAACCAAAATGGGGGCCACCCATTTTGACAACCTCCCCCACAGTGAGAGTGCTTGTGCAAATAAGGCCCAACCCTCCCAATTAATGCTACATCTGGGTCCAACTTGTGCAAGACGTGCTCGGTCCAACTTGTGCAAGACGCGCTCAAAACGACCAAATGGCCCTGAAATGTTCGCTTGAGATAGCCACTGTTTTCCAGAGCCAACAGAGGATGGCATGCCAGGGCAAACCAAAAAGCGGCTGATCGGTCGAACAACTCAGATTGCCTCTAGTTGGTTGTTTGGAGTGGTGGTTTGGGTGGGGTTAGGGATGGTTTCTCGTTTACCCTCAAAAGAACATTCGAGCCCGCCGTTGCCCGAAACCGCCGCGAAAACTACTGAAGGTCCATCCAGCTTGGCATCGTTGCCCAGCTGTAAAAACCCTCGGCCTGGTTGACAAAAAGCCAAAGCTCCAAGCCGCCCCAGACCCACTCCAAGCTTTCCCTAAACCCAAACGAAGACTGGATATCAGCCAGCCTAGAACAAGCCGTAGCTGTCCCAACCGCCAGCAAACCAGCATATGGGGAGCCCTGTATCCAAGTGAGGCTGGTGATGATGGTTATGCGGCCAACCAACCAACCAACCAACCAACCAACCAACCAACCAACAAACCAACCCAACAGACCAACCAGCCGGAGTTGGGCCCCCAACCATCAACCAGGACCAGAAAAAGCAAAAATGGGGAAGAACAGTTCCCCTCGGCCTATCTCCGGAAAACAACACATGGTCCTGCATTGTTGGAAACACGCATTTCAGCCTGGTTTTCACACATGCCTATGTCTTTTCATGAGGGAGCACCCTCCACAACAAGTGGTTGGCATACATCCCCATGTTTCTGACGTCCCCCAAGGGTTCCCAATGGAAACATATCACACATGCCCGTGTTTGGTGGGATTCCCAAATTTTGTTGACTTCTGCACTTGTTGGCATATTGGTCCCGCACCCCTTGTTGTGTGTGTGTGCCTTCTGGATTTCAGCTCCGTTCCATTTATTTCCGCTCCACCCCACCCCCACTCTCCTCCCCCAACCCCCACCCCCCGCATCCGACGATTCGAATCGGTCGCTCCCCGTGGCATCGAGGTGCTGCCTTCCTCAGGCAGGCGCAATGGCTTGGAGACCAGGCTGCCGTCCTCCCTCATGACCTGAGAATGTGCCAAGGAACCCAGGCGTTTCTCTGATTTGGCCATGCCTCAAAATCCAAATCGGTTAGCCCCCAGCGAACATCCATCCCAATCCAGCCACTAAAATGAGTTCTAAAATGGATGGCGAATTCACCTACCAACCAAAATGGTGGCATTGGTTTTGATCCACGGCCATTTGGGGGCCAGGAGTTGGTCAAAATGGGTCCTGGTTTGGACCAATTACTGGTGGGTGCTATGTGATGGGTCAAAAATTAAGCCACCAGGCTATGGACGGCAGGTTTTAGTCCTTGCTCCCTTTACCAGGGCGACCCATTCTTCGGTCTTCAAGGGGGGCGCTCCAAGATTCGGCGGTGCCCAGCCGGCTTGCAGGAAGCAACCAGGAACCAACAGCTGCAGTCACCCCCCTTTTTCCCAGCGGGGGTTTAGGAAAAACGCCCGAGTTTGGGGAACAACACCCCCAACTCACTCACTCACTCACTCACTCACCAGCAGGAGCCGAACAGTTGCTCTTCGCAGGTTTTGAAGGCCCCCAGTTTCTCGGTGAGAGTCGGAGATCTTGACGTGCAGCCCAAATGCTGCGGAAGGAAAACCCTCAAACCACTGGAGGTCGTCCAAGGTTGTGGCCTTCCTTCCATCATTTGCAACCAACCCTTGACAGCACAAAGCAAGTCAACTTTTCGCCTTTGAGTGGTTTTAAAAAAAATCGCAAACATACTTTCCCAAAAAGGATACTATCGAATAGAGCAACAAAAACAACTCCAAACAGAGGATTCATCCCGGGCATTGGTCCAATTCCAGGAGAATGATCAAAGGCTCCTTCACGATCCAGGAAAGCGAGTACCATTCTGGGCAGCGGGGCCCTACTTATTCGCCCCACCCTCCGACACTTATGGAAGCTGACAGGATGTGTTTGGAAGATGCTTTCCTCTTGGAAGTCGGAAGGCCCAAGTCTCATTGTAACCTGCGTGTCAGATTCGTAGAGAAAGACCCATCACCGGCGCCGGGAACCAAGGGGTGACAAGGGAGGTGCAGCCTCCCTACTGGAGGTTAGTTGTTTCTCATTTACCCTTAACAAGAACCACGGGTTCAAATCCAAATCCAACCCACCAACTAGGTGCAACCAAAAGGAAATCTGCGCTCCAAGCAAACAATTTTCCCCCAAAAAAAAACGCCCGCCGCCCAAGGGTCGCAGTGCTCCACGTAGTACTTGGCCACGAAGAAGGCGGCCATGCCCACCATGGCCACCAGCCGCCGCGGCACCAGGGCCATCCACAGGCTGGGCGTCCAGATGTGCCACGACCTCCAAAGCCATCGGAGCCATCGGAGCGAGCGAGAAAGCGCTGGGAGATTGATGGCTCCGTGGAACCAAGGGGTCCAATCAAAAACTGGCGGACCTTGGATTGCCCCGGATGGTTGTTGGTTTTTGTTTCCGGGAGGTCGAAAACGAGCGGGGAAATGCTGGGGCCAGGGATGCCGGCTTTGCCACTGCCGCAAAATGTCACGAAGGATGCTTGGGGCACGTGCTGACCCAATGGTTTCCCTTTGCGGGGATTGTTTCAAACACGGGCCCATCTTGGGAACAAACGCACACACACACACACACACCCTTGAAAGCACTTTCCAAGACTGCAAATCCTTCCGCCTGGCTTCTTTGTGCTGTCGTATCTCATCCTCCTCCTTGGATGCCATGTGCACCCCAAAGAACCCGGGGATAAAGGCAGAACCACCGAACCCGAAAAGAATATCTACCGATGATTTCGAAGGCATCGCCGGTTCTAATTTCCCGCTGCTTTCATGCGCGACTATCTTCGGCCATGAAGCCAGGACGTGCAGCGAAGGGCGATTCTCTTTGGCATAGCCCCTCATGCACTCCAGCATCTTCCCACATTCCGGGGGCATGATGCTCATCATGAGCTCATCCTCAGGCAGAAGGACGCTCTTTTGGACCAGTTGCCGGCTACCCTCGCAAGCCAAGACCATCCGAGCCGGGGTCCCCGGCGATCTGCAGAATGAAGCCCAGAGCAACGCAATTGATGATCATGTCTTCAATCTCCGAGGTTTCCATGAGAAAGATCTGAGTATCAGTCACTCACCGAACTTGCGTTAAGCGTACTGCCGTCAGTCGCACCGCCAAGATACAGCCCCCCAATTCTTAGAGACCTCATACGATTGTAGCGACCTGTGCGCTCCCTTCGTCAGCCTCCCTCTTGGTGATTTGGACCGGTTGATTGGAAGCCAGGGCAACAACCACCAAACAAATAGTCCCTTTCTGCTCACAGGCAAAGTCGCAATGCCAATATCCACTGTCAACAGCCAGAGATATATCTTTGGGCACAGCAGGAAGAAGAAGTTGAAGAGCTTCCAGTGCAGCGGCATGCCAGCCTTAACTCAAGTCAACAAAGAGAGTTAGCAATACCAAAGACAAAAAAAAAAAAAAGGACACAGACTGACTGCCAGTTCTTAGTAGGTTCCTTCTGAAGAAAGGTGAAAAACGGCAGCTCCTTTGTGAGTAACAGGGAGCTACGAACCTCAATTTCCGGGACTTGCGGCTTCCACTTCCAGCCTCTTGCCCAAGCCCTACATGTCATAGACCCTTCAGCAAGCCTAAACTGGCGCTGCCGATCCTCTTAGGTTCTGGGGGTCCCTTTGACATAGACCTAAACCCAGTGGTTTAATCCCTGGGTGTCAGTCCTTGAAACACCCTGGTTGAGGCTATCTTTCAGCCAACTCTGCACCGACACGGGACCCTGCATTCAAAAAAGGCCAAACACTCGGGAACTCAAAAAACAAATAAAAAGTGAAGTTCGGTCGCAGCAGCCACACGGAACTGTACAAAGTCCACCTCCACTTTCTCGTGCAGATACATCGAGGTGTTCGGGCTCGGCTCCTCCTGTCCGTGCAGCTCGCTAGGACGCGCTGGTGCCACTGCTACTTGCTGGTGCTACTTCTTACGCAATTTCGGGCAACAGAACACCTAGAGTCTCTGTTCTGTTTGCTTCAGACCAACTGAAAACTCGTGTCCGAACTCGCTTCAAGAGCACCTTCCTGACTTTAGAACATGGCTAAGTCCCAGCGAATCGCCATAGCCCTGTTGAGTCCAACAAAGATATACTTGGGCCATCCAATTTCATTCGCTTCCCGATGTTGCATGCCCAAGCAAAGGCGCATAGTTCCGTTTTGACCTTGCACCTAGTCCCGAATCTGGCCAAACAAGCTCATGACATTGCAACTTGAAAGCTGCCTCAAGCAGTTGCCAAGACATGCCATGCTTTGTAAGAGTTTCTGTTGGAAGAGTGCTGCTGAACCCAACCCTCGCGACCCCTCCCTCACCTCCTCAGCTTTGGAAGAAGTGCCAGGGGCTATCCAGCGATCCGGGGAAGTGGGCACGCACCTCGGGGCGGCAGGTTCTGTGCGGCGCTATGTCGCTCAACCAAAAGAGGCTCCTGTTGCAAGCCTGGAAGGAGAGGTTTTCCGCAGTGCCAGAACTTTGGTAGCACAGATGGTACCGCCAAGTATGCATTGGACAAAGCTCTCTGTTCTTGGAGTCTTGTGCGTTGACACATCAGGCAGGCATGGTAGATGCCCTGAATCGAAACATACCCTAGTGTATGACTGGTAAATTCTCTGTATCTACTGGTAGATATCCTTGGGCAAATCCTTATGGCAAGGAAACACGCTGCTGCAACCAGAACTTAGTTGGGCAGAGACGCATCGCTTTTGTTCTAGCATCCTTATTGACGGCCGTGACAAGGCGAAAGAAAGCCGGCACAAGTTCCGGCATCCTTAGGGGAACCAACAAAACAATCCGCGGTGCTTCCATTTGTCCATGCCTTTGCGACTTTCAGCCCCCCCCCAAAAAATATGGGGTAGCCTCAATGTGGACACACCAAGCCCGCGGCTGCCATTTTTTGCATCGCAGAAAAGTCTGACCTGCCAGTCCTTGCCCACATCCCGAAGCCAGCCGCCAAAAAATAAATGGTTTTGAGGCGTTTCTGTTCCAAGGCCCCGTTTCTGAGTTGATTACCCATGTTGGATGGGATGTGCAGCTGTGTCGCAAGTATTTCAAGGGTGCGTGAATTCAAGACTATAGATACACCACTTTTCTCCCAAGGCGTCAATTCAAGACTGGGCTTCCCCCCAAGCAAAGCCACGGAAAAACGCTCCCGAGCCGGCAAGGCGCTGGAAAAAATTGGGGACTTCAGAGTTCCCCTTTCAAGCAAGTGACCAGATTTTTATTCGCTAGAAGGGTTGGTCCTCCTGAGGAACTTGCAAAAAAAAACACCTATGGTGTAAACAGCCTCTTGGCTTCCGGAAGCTCTTGAAAACGACTTGGATGCGCTTTTTTGTGGACTTTACCTGGTCTGCCCCCTGTTGGTCCGATTTTTTCGTAATCTTTCAGTACTCTTCTGATACCACAAAAGAGACATTCAAGACGTTTCTAGATAAGCCTTTGAAACGGACTTTTTGCGACCAGCCATGCAGCCAGGCAGCCATAAGAGGTCCATCATATCCCAGCTGCCTGCGAGATCATGCCAAAGACCCAAGACGAAGAGAAAGCAGCAGACCAGGCGCAGCCAATAGCTCTCCACCTAAGCAGGTAACTCAGGCCAGGCTTCCCTGCAAGATCCTTATCTTATTTACTTTCTAAAAGTGTTCTTGTTGCTTTCAAGCAAACTGTTGTGCTTTCAAAGTGACTTTTTTAAAAACTTGTTTGCTTTCTGGGACTTGTTCAGCTTCCCTCTGATTGGAAATGTTTGAAGGATTGGTGGTTCTAAGCAGGCAGCTCAGATGGCCAGTGTTTCCCTCAACCTTAGGAATCCGGATGGTTTCAGCTTTCCTCTTTTCATTTGGAGCCTGGTTCAGGGGTTAGGGGGGTGGTTTCCCATCCCTTTAGAAGGGCCACATCGAAATCCAAACTGCCAATCCAAACAAGACAGGGAAACCTGACTTGTGCTAGGTCAAGCACATGTTGCCAAAAAATGTTGACTTTTGGCACCCTGTTCATTTTTGGAGTGGGTACCCCCTTTAGGGTGAAAGGGAAACCAAAAGGAATGCCGAAGCCATTTTGGGAGGTCCCCTTTAAAAAAAAAATGTTTTCTGCCTTGAACAGGGGTGATCGGGTGTCCACAGAATGTTGTCCCCATGATTTCGCCTGCTGCCCCTGCAACGAAGCGACTCGTAGCAACACTGCAGTCAAAAGTATGAATGTTGGACAAGTGAGTCACCTCAGAAATCTCTTCAATGGAACCTCCCAAAGCAGTTTCAATGGAACTTACCCATGAATTGCAACTTTTGAGAAGGAAATCCAGTGACCCCACCATGTCGCTGTCAGCTAACCCAAAAAAAGTGATTACAGATCCCGGGGCCTCACTGCTTTGACAAGTACCCCTCAAATTGACCGGTGTCCTTTGAGTTGCCCCTCAAAAAAATAAAAATACAACAACAGACACAGACCCATTTTGCTGGGGAAACAAATCGCAGGTCTCGAAAGTCTGCGCTTTCAGGGCACCCCGTACTCGCCCGGGTCGACATTCTCCATGATCTCGTCTCTCTTCTCTGGAAAGAGCGCGGCCAACGAGTCTCGCACAAAGGTCCTGTGACAATTTCGACCCCCAGAAGATGCGATGGGCTTCTTGATACCCGTTTTGGATGGCAAAGGGAAGCCCAAAGGAAACGGAAGCCCTCAAATGTAACTCCAAGTCATGCCCAGATCATTTGCGTCATGCAAATCGTTCCGCCGTATCGGAGCCCTTCCAAACTTCCAAACGCTTGGGTGGGAAAGGAACCGATTCCGTGTTGCGCCAGCATCTTTGTACCAATCACATTCCAAAAGGCTTCTTTGTCCCGTGGCAGTTCAAGATGTTCAAGACAAATGGCTGTGGCTCAAAATTAAACAGCAGGGGCAAACCGCAGGTGTTGGTCCATGTTTCCATTTACCAGGGTTCCATTTTGGTACCGGGCTTTTGAGCCAGTTCTGGTACTACCAATCCAAGAACCGGATACGTTGGGCCTTTAAAATATCACCTGCAAAACTGCACTCAGCGCCTACCAAAAACTCCGAGACCCAAATAAATCCGCATCATGCTAGCCATGCAATGAGCAGCAAAGGGCCAAGAGTACTCTACATGCCTGCCTCGTAGACCACAGGTCGAAGGGATACAGGCGTGCCCTCGGAGTCGGACAAAGCGGAATGCCAGGTGTGTTGGTGCGCTATCCGCTTGAGGAAAACTGACTTCCAACTTGAAAGATTCAGCTTCCCTCTACTTGGTGGTGTGGATTGGCTCCCATTTACCCTCTACAAGAACCAGGGGTTCAAATCCCCAGATCACCAATCCAAACGGCCAAATGAGGGTTGCCTGAAAAATGTATCCGCAACGTGTCAAACACAAATCCTGAACAGGGGACCATCCTCAACAACGGGATGTGCGCAACCAACTGCATCTTTGAATTGGAGTTGCCTTCTTGTGCATTGCTACCACGCTCCCTGCCTGCACCAGCAATACAAGGCAGAGGGTTGGACCAACTCCTTGAACATGTCCTAACAATCAATGATTAAACTACCTTCTGCTTGCGTCCCATCGTGTACAGTTTGGATCAAGAAACCCGTGGTCCCTTTGAGCCCTCTGCAAAATGACCCATTGACGGGAGGGTCTGATTACTCCGGTAACCTTGGGGCACCGAGGCCTGACTGGTTTGTGGCCGACGAGGTGGAACAATTGAACGGACCTGAGCACCAACCACGGGTGATTTCTCATCTCACCTAGGTCAAGGTTGACCCGTAAGCAACCTTCATCGGTGCGGTCGTTTTGCCTCCTTGCTCACTATGCGGTGGATTGATTCGACCCTGCGGCTGAACCAACCACATCCAGAGAACTCTGATACATTGCCGTGACTTCCGTAGTGTCGCTTCTTGGCCTGCTTGCAGTTTGGGCCAACCCTGGCTAACAAATCACAAAATTGTTGCACCTGATCCTCCTCAACCCTTCCAATAAAGAAGCCAATTCCCAGGTAAAAAAAAAAAAAAACGGCCCCCAGGTCGTACCGAGTTTTGGGGGCGGGAGTGGGGCGGGGCTGCGGCTGGACCTCGCTCGGCGCACTCCTGGACCCTGGGCCCAGCGGCGTGGTGATGGTGGTGCCTCCCGGCCCCACGCAGTTCGGGGCATCGGGGCAGCGCTCCAGGTGCGCGGCGAAGTCGCACAAAAACCTGACAAGCTCGCGCTTTTGGTTTGGTCTTGCTCGATTTGTTGGTCGTGTTGTTTCTTGTCAATTTTGGTGGGTTGTTGGTCGGTGTTGGTCGGTGTTGGTCGGTGTTGGTCGGTGTTGGTCGGTGTTGGTCGGTTTTTTGGTCAATTTTGGTGGGTTTTTGTCGGTGTTGGTCGATGTTGGTCGAATTGCTGGTCGGTTTGGTCGGTTTTTTTTTGGTCAAATGTTTGGTTGGTTTTGGTGGGTTTGTTGGTCGGTTCTGGTCGGTTTTGGGGGGGCTCCTTGCGACTTGGTGGCTGAAAAATGGTCGGCATTCTTGTTGGTTGGAACCAACTTTTGGTCACTGTTTACCTAAGGATGAGGGAAGAATGTGCTGCAGCACTATCCTTGAAGGGTAGGATTTCGGGGTTTGAGGTTGTCCCGAAAATTGCTGCATTCTTTGTGGTATCCTCTTGGAATCATCAAAGGCGGCTACCCTGTTTTGGACCAAAGGAAACGGACCGCGAACCCGCGTAAGGGAAGTGAAAACAAAACCGGCGCCTTTTTCGGGAGCCTATGGCTCTTGAAAGTATCCAATCGGCTGGTCGCCCAGTCGCACTTACCGTGCTACCGCAGAGCCCTTTTGTGGGTGGTCCCCTCAGAACTTTCCTTGCAAATCAATCTAAATCTGTTGCTGAGCGCCCGGAGAACAGCCCATTGCGTCCGAGCCACATCTGGGTCCCGAATTTGTTGATGATGCGCTCCTCCTTGCTGATCATGTACAGAAGGAAGCCTGGCCCAAAATGGGCGGCTTAGAATCCGGAATCCACTAATCATCTCAGCAAAGGAGAGGAATCTGCGATCTGAACTTCGGTGACGCTGGAGCTGCACTAGTCACAGAAAACCCGTCTCCATATTTGTTTTCCTGGGTAACGCCAGTACGCACCTCACCGGCTCAAACTTCAGGAAGGGCGATTTCAATATAGAGGGGACCTTGGATGGTTTGACCAGGGAGACCAAAAAGGAAACCAGCTACTTGGACGGGTCCGTTTAAGAAACATCTTCAAAGCCCTGCCTTGCAGCAAATTGTTGGTGATCATGAAAAGCAGGCCGCGCATGGCCAGGGCTGTGTAGGAGATCGTCCAACCAGCACTGCCTCAGTTCGCATTGAGTCGCACGAGGCCAAAAACAAGCTTCCATGGCTAGCAGTATGAGAAGGCCATCGGACAACAACGCCCACACGCTGCACAGGTCTGGCTTTTACTTGCTCCAAATTGCTGTCCTCATGGTGATGTGAAGATAGGAATAAGTTAACAAGATCGAGGTTCTCATTCCAAAGGGTAGAAGCTGTCAAGCGTCCAAGCGAGAGGAGGCTGTTCTTAAATCTTTTCGCACTTGCTCGCACCCAAACCAAGACCTTCAAACTGAACACTCTGAGAGCAGTGGCCATGAGCATAAAAGAGGTTTGGGGTGTTTGCTACATATGTCACGACACTGTAAAAGAGCGCAAGTTCACTGAACCGAAACTGCAGCTTTGTTGAGCAGTCGACTCTGACTCAAAAAACATCAGCTCTGAATTATGCTCAATTTGCGTGGCTTGGTCTGCTTTGTGGCAATTGTATCGATGACTATCAGATGGTCGCACAAAGTACTTTGCGACCATATCATAAAACCTGGGCAGGGTGAGCATCAAAGTCCGCACGGACCTTCATCTTACTGCCCAGAACGAGATTTGAGCGATGTTCACCATGAGTCTCTTTAAGAAGGGAGAGGGGCGACAGTGGATGATATCCTATGTGGCGAACACCTGTCGCCTTGAAATCAAATAAAATAAGAACCGTGTCTCTTTATTGATTGCCAAAGTAATGACTAGGTTCCACCTGCTGGCTGGGCAAACGTCGGAATATCAGCATTCCGTGAGGAAAAAAACTGCATGACAGAAACACTGCCCTCGAATCATGCGAATCACCGCAGGCACAAAGATTCGACACAGAGCACCACATTTCCAGCCACAAAGAGAAAACCCAACCCCACCCTTTTCCCTTCAGGGTTGCCAGGCGCTCAAGGCCTCGAAAGACAAAGAAATCCCCTCAAACCCGAGGAAAAGCAACAAGCCAACCGAACAAAAACGAAAAAGCGCCGCCCCCTCCCCCTCCCAAGAAAAAAAAAAAGGCTACAAACCCCTCCTCTCCCCTCCCTAAACAACAACAACAAATGTTGCACGCCAAAACCAAAACCAAAACCAAGCAACCAACCATTGTCCAATGCTTGCTTGAAGTTGGAAGGGGAGCAAAAAGTCAAATTTCAGCAGTTAAGTGGGATTTCAACCACTAATCTACAATAAGCAAAAGTTTGTACACTGTTTCCCAACAACAACCATGAATGAATTCTTCCACCCTCCGGACTCCCTCCAGGGGACTCCGCCCGAAACGGGGTAAAGGCGCGCGCCAGCTGCGGCAGCGCCAGCGCGGCGCCGTACACAGAGAAGGGGTCCACCGTGGCGAAGCCTTGGCACAGGAAAATGTCTCAAGGTGTACAAAGCTGTTTCTTGTATGTAGCTTTTATGTCTGTAAAACATGAAAAATATAATGGTAAACAAAAGTAAGCTGTTTCTTCTGTGTAGTGTTGAGGGTTGTAAAATGTGCTCAAAAAAACAAAGATAAACACGAGTATGTTTGATAGTACTCGAATGTGCCTTCATCTCGAAGGGAGCCGTGCCCAGCCCATTCTGCTCAGAGATCCTTCTCAAATACTGGCTCAAGCCCCGGACAAACGTTCATCGAATGGTATGAACTTGTGAAGTACCCCTTGATGGTTTTGCCAACTATCTCAAAATGACAATGGAGGGTAAAGGGCTCAACATGTCAACCATCATCCTCTTGCGTCACTCCCGGCAAACCTCGGACAAGGATGAAGAATTGGTGGGGTGTCAAAATTGAGAGACCAAACCAAGGTGAAAAGGATTCTCCAGAAACACACACTCGAATGAAGTTCACCCCACTCCGATCTGAAAATGGTGTGGAGAGTACGCCCACCCCTGCCATGTATTTCTTGGGGGATGGAAATGGATGGTACAAAATGGGAAACAAAACAAAGTGTTCACAATGCAGCTCCAGCATACCAAAAATCAGGCTGATTCCGTTCCTTCCAAAGACGACCCATCTTGGCTGCACCATGCGAGAGTGAGAGCAGCGATCATGTCCCTGAAACGGTAATTTAAAAAAAAAAAAAAAAAAAAAAAAAAAAAAAAAAAAAAAAAAAAAAAAAAAAAAAAAACATGCGGAGCAGAATAAGGCTTTCTCCAAGACCCCCCACTTTGTGTTGGTGCCAGGCTTCGGTTTGTGCCCCCCAAGCATGTTTGGAGATTCAATCCCACCGCTGACAGCCAGCTCCGACCGGCAAACCAAAGCATAGTTGTGGGAAATTGCGGCATTTGGAGCATGTTCTGCGATGCCGCTTCTGTGACTTCTGTGCGATATCCGCGGCGGAATGCGAAACAATAGGTGATCCAATGGCAGAATGTATGAAACCCATGTATGAACCCTGAAGAAAAAATGGTTTGGTTGGTACAGTTGGCGAAGGATGCAAAACGAAGCATGTCCAACTGACGGAAGCCGTGCCAACCAATCCCATGAGAAAGTGCCATAGACCCCAGGCACCCGGAAGAATAGGAACCCCAACTTGGTTGCTGTTGACCCCCCTGCAGAAAGTTTAACTTTTTGGGGATTTAGTGGAAAACCCAACTTGAGTTCAACCAAAAAGTTAAAGTCCAAAGATCCAACCCAATAGCAGTCAAGCCAACTCCCCCCCTTCTGGGCCTGCGGATTCATGCTTCATGCACCGCAGCGCCTTCTCTGCCAGCCATGGCCTCGATTGCTATGGCTTTGCTTCTCGCACCCCACCGAAGCGGACAGTCAAAGGGAGTAATGCTGACCACGGGATCTAAGTAGAACCCGTCCCACTAGGGGGGTGTTCCCTGCAAAAGTGGTCCGAATCCCCACTAAAAGGGGACAGCCCCCAATCAAAATCAACCAGGAAAGTATGAATCCGCGGTTTAAAGGACCCGAAGGGGCCGCCAGAACAGCGGCTTTGTCTCTCAAATGTCATGAATGAGTTCGGGCTCAACCTTCACTCGCGAAGCCGAGCCTTCGGCGAATCGATGCGAACGAGATTCGGAGCTCCGAAGCAACACCCGAACCAAGTTCCCAGGTGTTGACCATGGTCCAAAAGATCATGTTCTCGGGAAGAAAAGAATTGGTGGGTGCGCTTGGATTTTTTAAGGAGACCCCTTTCTTGGTTGTTTTAAAGGAAACCAAACAGAAACCAACCAAATGCATGTTCTTGGGGTTCCCCCATCTCAACGCAAATCCATGCGCAAGTCTGTGCCCAGCAAACCAGTGCGCAGTTCTGTGGACTGGACGGATGCCTGAAAACCGGAGCCTCCCAAGCTTGTTGTTCGTGTTTTCGGAATGCCAAGACACTTTCTCGTTTCAGACACAAACGAGGATCCTTTCGCGTTTGTGCTCTGTGTGTCGTGCCGTTGGTGATGTTTGGCTCAGCGCCAACTGGAAGCTAAAGTCTTTGATATTTTCTCACGAGGGGCCTTACATAGCGCTGAGTCATTGACCGCAGCAAGCGCATCAAGACATTGAGAGGACGAAGCCCAAGAGTCCTTCGAACTGGATTCAAGTCCCATTCCAAAGGCCTCCTTTCCAGAAACGCCACTGGGAATCTGTTGCCGCTTGCCCACAAAAAAAATGATATTTGGACTAAATTCTGCGGGGTTCTTCGTTTTTTTGGTTTTTGTTTTCTTGACCCACACCCATCTTCGCTGCATCGCTGCGCGCATCCCTGCGGGCGTTCCGGTGGGCCTTCCAGGGTCCGAAGCGCTCGCTTTGGAGCTCGTGGGACCTGAGCCCAGGCACTTCGTGCTGCCTCGAGTTGGTTTGTTGATGTCTGGTTGACGGGAAGACTCCTTCAGGAAGATGCGGGTTTATTGATGTGTCTGGCCCAGATTGTATGCTCTTAGACTCCTTGTTCAGGGTCTTGTTGTATCTTTTTCGGTGTCCTCTGGATAAGGTGAACTATAAGACTCAGTGTTCGGGGTCTTGCTGCATTTCTGTACCCGCCCTGTGATCCCTTCAGTCTGCAACACTTGGTGCATTACAACTCCTGTGCCAACTTTGGCCCCTGAAATGCCACCGAGCCCGGCCTTCCTCCCGCAAGTCAGCGCCTCGGAAACAACGAAAAAGGCCGTTGTTTGAGGGTATTAGTTTTAAAGGGAAGCGATTTTGGGCGTAAACACGCGCGCACACACACACACCCACACACCCACACACCCACACACACACACACACACACACACACCCGCGCGCGCGCGCGCTGCGACCAAAGCTGCTCGCACTTCATGGGCCCTCACATGAGTGCCTTTGGGAAACGAGACAAGGGCATCACGGACTCAGTGGGACACCCATTTGAGCCATTCGGAAAGTCCGCGAACCTTTGACTTGCCCAACCACACCTTGAGCAATGGCTTCAGGATAGCAGGTAAAAAATTATCCACCCAGGCGGCCCCACCTGTCGTTTCACACGTTTTGGTAGAACCTACTGAAACGGAGTTTGGGGGTTGGGCGGGCTCACATGGACTTCGGCCATTTGCTGGGCCCCGGGCTCGGACTCGCATCGGTGTTCGGCACCAGCGTGTAGCCATTGCGGCTTGCTTCCATCGGACGCAATGTGTCAGCCGTGAACTCGTGACACCCCAAGTTGGGGGTAGTGATCTGGTCAGTATCTGCACGCAAACGATCTCAACAAGGAAGCGTTTGGCCGGTTTGCAATCAGGAAGGACTGGCTGATGTGCGCATGTGCGTCTGTCTGTATATGCCCGTATGGCTCTTGTATGAACCTTGAGCCAGAAAGTAGACTGCAGACCGCAGTCTAGGCGTGCCCCAAGACTGGCAGAGATCTCTTCAGTGAAAACTCACATAGGTGTGGCTCAAAAATTAAGCAGGAGGGGCAAACCGCGGGTTTTGGTCCATGCTTCCACTGACCAGGGCAACCCATTTTGGAATTCCGGCTTTTTGAGCCACAGCCACATGTTCCGGAACAATGCTCCATGAACTCAGATCCGGTCCCCCGAGCCCCCGAGCCCCCGAGCCCCCGGGCAGCTGCAAAGCTGCAAGCGCGGGAGCGAGGTTCATGGCGACCCGAGCTGCGGGAATCCCCAAAAGCCCTCGGTATCCATCCGTGCGGCCAATTGGCCCTTGGCTTCCCCGGCGGATTTCTCACCAAGTCCTGCGATTGGTTTGGCGTTCAAGGCGCCTTGAGCCGAGGCCTCAAGAGGGGCACGGAGATCGGAAGGGGAGGATTCATCGACTTCCGAGCACCAACCAGAATGCTGGTCTCAGGCTCGGAGCGATGAAAATTCGGATTGGTTCGGGAAGGCAACCATGTCAACAAGTTCAGGCACGGACTCTGGCATTCATCCAGGCAGAATGCCACATGGGGGTCTTCCTTCGGGACTAGTGTCAAGGGAAACCAGTGGGCACGACAATCTGTGAGGTTCATCCAGACCATTTTGGAGGTTCCAACTTTGAAGACCATTCTGGTTTCCCACCATAGATGGTTGGCTCCCTGGTTTCCCTTGCCCACCAAGCAGAAATCGCTCTGGGCCGCCGCGCCAGGGTCTTGGGCCTCGGCCTGGCCTCGGGAGGGACACCCCAAAACCCCCACCAGCAAAGAACTGCATGGATACACCAAGGGGCATGCTGCCCTCCCCCAACACCAGGGGGCAGGTTTGATACTTGTCCATTCAGGTTCCATTGTGGGCCGAATTTTTGAGCCACGCTCATGTGTTAAAGCAGGGCTGCCCCATTTCCCGTTGGTTTCCCGTACAACCCAGAAAAGTGTTACCTGCAACAAAAAAAAGGGAAGAAGAAAAAAAAAGGAGGAAAAAAAAGAAGAAGAAGACACAAACTGGTTGGTGGTCAGAATCCCCAGGCCATAAAACCAACCGACCCGGCACCCTTCTTCAAGTCCCTTCGATTGCTGCTCCCAAGCCCCGAGCTTCAGGAGCTTCGGGGGCGGTCTAAACTGTGGGAAATGGAATCCACAGTGCAACAGAAAGGGCCTCCCGAAGACTAACCCATGAAAAAGAGGGGATTCCCAAAAGTATCACAGAAGTGGTTGGATCAACCCCGAGTGATCCTGAACACTGCTCACGGAACCTAAAGTTCAAGACCTCAGAATCGCTGCCATCTCTGATTGACCTTTTCTGTTTTTGTTTTTTTTTTTCTTTTTTTTTTTTTTTTTTTTTTTTTTTTTTTTTTTTTTTCGGTCGTGTCTGAGCTGCGCGCCCAAAGGGACTGCTCCCAGCGAGGCTCCCCAGAGACCACGCAGTTGGAATGCTCCCTGGGAGGACCACTCTCCACAGAAAAACACCAGGTCCCGAACACCTGCAAGATTGGGGCAATCAAGTGACCGGAACGACTTTGAAGGCTGCAACAGGCAATGGCTCTTCCTGAACTCTCAAAGATGTTCAGACCTCCCACCCTCCAGGAAACGTCTATTTGCCTTCCCAAGGTGTGTGTTTGGGGAGCCCCAAAATCTGGAAACGTGACTCACCGTCCGCCAGCTCCGCTGCCCGCCTACGCGGCCCCAGCAAGCTCCCGCAAAGGCCTCCCTCCGTGGCATAGACCTTCGCGCCCACTTGAAAACCCCTCCACACTGAGGATTCCCCCAACAGTTGCGGCTTGAACCTATCCCTTTTGGAGCTCATCCAGAAACCTGAGACATTCACTGGCAGGGTCCTTCAAAACTGCGACTTTAGCTCCAAATCGAGGGACCCCAAACAAGACACGGGACTAGCCGCTGCCCCGGCCCGCTGAGAGGCTCGAAGGAGCCGAGTCGGGCGCACCGCCTGCCAGGCCAAGTGGGTGCGCCTTTTTGAAGGTTGTTCCCCTCAAAATGACTCCGGCTATCCGTTGGCTTCCCTTTCAAAAAACAAAAAAAAACAAAAAGGTTCCCTCCAAAAAACAGACCCAAGTCGCTGCTCAAGCTTGAATTGGAACGAGAGCGCCCCATGTTCAACTCCAAACGTGAAGAGATCAAAGCCCACACCCTTCAAAACAACAACCTTACATCTTAGAAGAGCCAACTGCTGCGAATCTTGGAGCAAATAGCTCATCAACCTGAACAGGGATCCTTACAATTTTTCACCTGAACATTGCATTGTAAATGGTGGTTTCCCTTTAGTTTGGTGGAAAAAGCAGCATGTTTCAAATGGGCAAAATGTATCTTTTAAGGAGCCCTGCTGAAACTGTGCCTTGCTGTGACCTTTCATTCCCCTGGCACCTCGAGTTCCACCTCACTGGCCGCGGAGGCGGGCCTGGCACCAGCGATCTGAGCAAGGCCATTTCGACTTGAGTCTCGCGGCACAAGACACTGTCCGACCCTGGGGATGTTCGCCAAAGCTTTGTCCTCTGCACCAAACCGAGCAGAAGCAAACAAACACCACACAAAAGAGGACAAGAACAAACATGCCGCAAAAACCGGTTGGTCTCTCCTTGCCACCGGGGCCTGCCTTCCCGTCTGCCACCAGGAATGTGGCGGAGTAGATGGTGGTGTACCTTCAAAGAGCAGTCCAACATGGCTTGTTCGCATCAATAGAGCGAGTTTTCCCAATTCTACCCTCCAAACTGTTGCAAGGAGTCATTTGGGTGGAGATATCCTTCACCTTTGTTTGTTGCCACATCGAGTGTGGCCCCTTCTTTTTTGTTGCCATGCCCTGCAAATTAACCCGGAACCCACAGATTGAGGTCTTGTGAGAGACCTTGCCGCATCTCTCATGATAGGAAGACCAAGTCCTCCCAAAAGAGCTCGTCACTCCGCCAGCCTTCCCTTCTCAGCGATGCAAGGGGAGACAAAGGCGTAGCTCGCCTCAGCTCACTTCTTCTTGCGCACCAGAACGCCAAGAATGAAAATCTCAGTCGCCCCTTAGAAAAACCCAGAAATCAAAGGTGATATATCACCTCTTGGAGCCTTTAAAGATAGACCAAGATTGGAAAAACAAAAGGTGAAAAGGTCGATTCGCTTTGGGCAACTGAGTTGAATAGGTCACCAACAAAAAAAATGCTGCAAGGGGCGACTGTATCATCCAGGGACCCGTACCACGGAGTAGCATCCTCCTCCATGCCTGGGTGCATAAAACTGAAGACTACGGTGGATGCCCTAAAAGAACAGCTATCAAACCAATCATCCTCAGCCACAACCATGGGCAAAAATACGGTAAAATCACTGTCTAAATCTTACTTGCAAAACAAATTGGAGCATCCACCGTACCCCCCACGGGTGCAAAAAAGAATCGCATTCCAGCCAGTGAAGTGTCACACTCGCCCAAAGACTGCACAGCAGTTCTGCTGCATCGGCCCCTGCAACAAAGCAATGCTTTCCGTCGTCGCCAAGTTCTGTTCAAACCTGCCAAAAAGGAGGCCACGTGGCCTGTGGCTCCCGGGACTTGTAAAAAAAACGCATAGACTTCCCAGCTGCCTGCTCTCACACCGCGCCTCGAAAGGGCACGTCGCAAAGCCCTGTGACGGAATCGGCCGCTTCGATGTGACAAATTGCGTTTTCTTTGGTTCTTGGAGACACGGATTTGCGATTGCCGTTTAAAATCGAGCTGCGGAAAGGCTGTGAGCCAGACATGTAAAGCGCTTGTGATGTGAAAGTTTCAGCAAACAACAAGAAAACTGCACCCCGACATTGGAACTCGTGCCCAAAAAGGATTACTTCAGTTGCCCAAAAGCATTTTATAGGAAATGAACTGTGTGCTCTGCATGGCTCAACCAAGATTCAAGAATATGCTCAATAGCCAATCTGTGCGAATTGAACCAGGCTTTGCGCAACCTCTCGGATGTGGTGGCGCGCGAAGGCAATGCCCTGCAACAAATGTGAGCTCTGCTAGCGTACCTCGCCCAAAATTCATGGAAATGCTCCGGAAGGTAAGCATGATATGCATACGCGCACTGCAACGCAACACCTAGCAATGCGTCCGGGACGGCATCCCAGAACAAATCCCATCCCTGAAATGAGTTGCTGGTGAAGCATGGCATGCATGCAACGACTGCGAGCGCACTTTCAGGGCCTACACCCATCATTGCTCTCGAAACGGCACAATGCCCCAGCTCGAGTGAACTTGGCAAGGAACACTGTCAGCAAGCTCAAGACCGCTTCCAC